ATTATCTTAACCAATGAAATTTTTTCTTTTAGATTTAGATTTAATACACGAAATTGAATTATTATTATTATTATTATTTATTCTTTCAGAATGAATGAAAGAGAAATTTAGTAATTAAATATTTAATTTCTCTTCTTCGAATTCGGTAAGCGAAACATCAGTTTGATAATTGGAGATTTTAATTATTAAATTTCATAAATAAACTAACCTGGTATGCATTTTAAAGGCCCCTTTCTTGTAAAATATAAGCATAGACAAACGGTAACGTCTATCAAATTATTTTTAAAACCAATCGCCTACGAGTATTTCCCACGCTCTAAACGTCTTATTTGAAATGTTTACAGAAAATAAACGAAATAATCATTAATACCTTATTGTTCTTTAGTGTTCGTCCATAACAAAGTTACCGACGTTAGGCCTAGAGCATGTTATAAAAATTATATTAAAATTTTTATAAAATACAAGTTTATTTTTCAAGAAAAACTATATTGACAGTCGAAGTAAAAATCCTGTTGTATCCAGGACGGATTTACACGCAAGTAAAATAAGCTACAGGGGCCTCACGTTTTGAAACATTACTATTTGATAGAGGGTGAAGGGCCTCTTATGTGTCAGAGGAAAGAATCAAAACAAGTCTAAGTCTACATTAAATTCTACGTTAACTTACCGTACAATAATATATATATATATAAGAATACTAATCGATGCTTTTTATTAAAATATATAGACTTTAAAAATGAATTAAATCGGTTATAAAATAATAAAAAGTAACTGCTAAAAAAATAAAACATTTATTGTAGATGTGACCGAAAATACTTTTAAGTTAAAATACTTTATCAATTTATTATAAAGCTAAAATAACATTTCGGATCAAAGGGACACACCGCTGTTTGGATCAAGCAAATACGCTGCTTTGCAAAATATAAAAGGCTATCAATTATTTAGGATTGTACGAACACTTAAAATACATTTGTACACGTAACCAGTTCATCTATAAACAACCCATCGCTCAGATAATATCTATTTGATTTAAGTGGAATAAAGAAAAATATCGGGAAGGCATTGAATTGCGATAGATAATACGTCTATAGCAATTGAATATTAGCGAGTTTGTAGAGTTTCTAGACAAAAACTTTTATCCCCTTTCTCATTGTTATATTCTATACTTTTCTAGGTCATATATTATTTTGTTCTTTTTCCTTCTTCTCGCATTCGAATCTTTTAAGAATTTAACATAAAAGTTTAATAAATTAATACATCTGTCAGTCAGATAATTATAATAGAATACAATACAAAAAGTCTATTTATAAAAACAATATAAAATCGAGGAGAAAATACTTATTCGCCTCTAAAGATAGTAGCAATTATAATCTATTGAGAAATTCAAATTGATATATAAATTATATAGTGTATTTGTCACGAGAAAGGAAACTTAAAAAAAAAAAAAAAAAAATAGAATTCTCTATCAGCTATAATGTCATCTATGCATAAAGAAATTAACAAATAACTAAAAAAAGTAGAGTTAACAAAACAATAATACAGAGAAAGTTACCATGCAGTGAGAAATTTGTAATGACATTAAAGTTATAAGTAAGGTTTGCATACAACTTACAGGTTTTGTAATACCATATGTATAACGTTAATGTCATTACAAATTTCTCACTACACAGTAACTTTTTGTATACCCTGTACTAACAACAACAATTATTCAGTAAGGTGTCTTGTCATATTATTTTATATATAAATATATACTTCCACTTCATCTCTCTTTTACCTCATATCTTTACTCATATATATAATTCATAATTGATTAAAGACGTCTTTTTATTTAAATGTTTAAACATTTTTCAAGCTTAATTCAGTTCATCTTCACATACATACTTAAAAACTCAATGGAACATTTAGAACATTTTCAAATGCAATAGAACATATTAACATTTTTGAATGTTTTTCTGAATTTCCACTAAATGTTAAAAACTTTCATATAACACTCTTTTTTTAACATTTCTAGTCTGTAGGAAATCTCATTCAGTATAGGGACATGGGGATGATGCATTACTTGTATTGAACATTTACTCAAAATTCAGAAAATATTAATATGTTCCATTGTGTTTGAAAATGTTCTAATATTCCATTGAGTTTTTAAATATGTGTCTTAAGATGAGATAAATTAAGCTTGAAAAATGTTTAAACATTTATGTGAGATACTGGGTATTAGAGTAAGGCTCAACCCCTTTGACTGGTGATGGGTTGGTAAAACCTACTCACTTTGTCACTGGATGGTTTTACCTGAGTGACCGGGGGTTGAGAAGTCCATTGATAGAGTGTTGGCACGTAATAAGTCCACATGAGAGCAGGTTAAACAACAAAATAACAATTTAATGAAATAACATAAAGGATATGATACAGTAAGCTAATACATTACTGGTTAGTCTACCTTTCATAGGTAACATAATGTCCAGGCCTATTCCTATGTGCTGGTATTATTTCTATTCAGTCTATATGACTGTATCAGATAGACATTAAAGCCTTATATCTATGTCCTTATAGGCTAATTGACCGAGAGAGAGAGAGAGTTTACAATTGGAAGTATCAATGTACAATAACTTGTGATGACACTTCATAGTTCCTAGATGCTGCTATGCGACAATGTTTGGACAGTTTGCAATCTAAGGCTGGGGGCATCGAAAGGAGACAAACTTGGCAATGTAGGTATTGGTGGGTGGAACGTCATGTACAGTTCCTCGAAATATATCCACCCCGATGATCAGGTGTGACCCCTTTTTATATGCATCCCGCATGAGAACAATCTCAGGAGACTTTGATTTAATGCGTTATAAGTTTGAGATGTGTCATTACCTTGGCCGGAGCGGTCTGACTCTTTTTACCATATAAGGCAACAATGTTGAAATTCGTAGACATCTGAATGAGGTGGTGGTCTCTTCTCATCTCATAATTTAATCCATTTGACAGTTTCCCATTAGTAAAACTCGAATATTTGACTAAGGTTGTAACTTAAGTCCAAACGTCAAAATGACTGTTGACTTGGAAGATATTTGATTGGTCTTATCTATCAGAGTATCACGAGTGGGTGAAAATAAAAAAAAGTGGAGTTTTTCCACTTCTCTTAATTTTTAACTAATTAATTTAATTTCCCCCTCCAGACTCTCACATTTAAATAAAAATATCTGTTTAATCAATTTTATATATGAATAAAACTTCCATTTGCACTAAATGTTCTTTACATAGCCAGTGAAAAAAATTTTTTTCCAACAGAACATTAGACCGAATCCATTTGAGAAGATATTTGGAATATTCTGAACGTGAAGTGCTTAGGCCTGGTTTCACAAGATTAAATTTTCCATTTTTTATTCCGGATGAAGAAGCAGATTTTATAGTAGAAGCAGTTTCTATAGTTGCAAAAGAGGGATGGAAATTACTTCCTCAGTATATTTTCAATCCTGAAACTGGTGAATGGAAACATAGAAATCAACAAGTAAGATTATTTTTAAAAATAATAATTATACATTTAAAATACTTTGAAAGTTTATATGTTACTAATTTTAGGTATTTAAAGATAGAAAGTGGCTTGGTTCTATTTCATATGAAAGTGGAAAATTTCATTTTACTCAACCCAAAGAAGTATTAACCAATCCTTTGCCAGCTAGTTACCAAGTATTTATTAATTTTTAAATTAAATTTTGTAATAATTCAAATGTTTTGAGATTTCAAAAATAAATAAATAAATATATATATATATATATCACTATTTTGGAAGAAAACTGGCACAACTCAAAATTACTAGTTTTGAGAAAATCCCACGCAAAGATTTAACCAAAGTTTAATTGAATATCACTTATCTCCCATATAACTGCTCCCTAGTGGCTGAATACACAAGTTATTTCTGTGACACTCTTCTACATAAAAATTTACTACATTTTCATTTTAATTATGACATAATTGAAAAATCACACTTTTTTGAGTTATGCTGGTTTTCTTCCAAAGTAGCAATATATACTGAACCAATAAATTGTTTATTAGGAATGTTTAGAAAAAGCCAGAGAAATTTTTTCTGCTGCTAAAAAAGTAAGTATTTTTATTTTTAAAATTAATAATTGTAAAAGCACAACATTTTATTTTTCAATCAGATAGCTCAGCGATATCAATTGTCCGATCAAGAAGTAATGTTTGATGATGAAGCTACTAAATTAAGATGGTTCCTTCTGCCTTCTGAAGCCAAAACTTTTGTTTTAGAGCAGAGACATCAGTCACCAAGGATTATACCATTTTGCCCCAAAAATCACTTTACTACTGAATTTGATAATGAGGTTCTGGAAGAACAAGAAATAACAATATTACCATTAAACAATTACAATGATGATGATAATGCCATTTCAGTCATTAAACAGAATACTTTAAATAATTTGGACAAAAATGAACAATTGCAAAATCAAAATGAAATTACAGAAACAAACAGAAATGACACAGATTCTGAAATTACAGATACAAACAGTATCTGCCTATGCAAATATAATGAAATCAGTGAATCAAACAAAGAAAATGAAAAATGCAGTCTGAATTATCCTGCAAGTAAAATACCAAAACCAGCAAAACTTTTAAAGAATGATACAAAAATTCTTTGGCATTCCCCTCCAAAATCAATATTTAAACCATTTCTAAAGGTATTTTTTGATAATTTTATAAAGAATATATTATTACAGAAATAACAAATAATTTTGTTTTGTTATTGTTTTTAGGCAATATCAGAATTTAATATGATACAGTCAAATGATAAGATTTTAGTTTGTTTGTCTGGTGGAAAAGATTCATTATCATTACTGCATACACTACATCAATATCAGTTTTATAGCAAAAAAAAGGTAAGCTGATTAAATATCAATCATTCTTAATTGTCTCATTATTTACATTGATAACAGATATCAGAAATTACAGAATTAAAGCCTAATTAATCCTAGTGGTTTTTAATTTATATTTAAATNTAGAATCAAAGAGACAAAAGATGGTTTACTTGATTTACATCATTTAGAAACAGAATTACAAGTAAGTATTTTATTGAGAAATTAATAAGTTTTGAATTATTTTAAAAAATGTTATATTATGGGAGAAAATTTTGATTTATGTAAGTGTATCTTATTTCTTCTGCTAGAAATATCAGAATTCTGAAAGATCACTGATTGGCACTTTTTCTGCTGCCTCCAATATTACTGGTATATTGACAGATGATATAGAGGTGACTGCTTTGTTACATAAATATAATGCATTAGCATTTTGGGACTATGCTGCAGCTGCACCATATGTTAAGATTAACATGAATCCAGTAGTAACAGGGTAAGTTTATAATTTTTTATATATAAAAATTAAGTACTAAATAACAAAAAAGCAGTTTGTTTTTTGTTATTTTCAAAGAACTTTGAGTTATTTTTCATATCAATTAAAATTATTAATGGATCTCTAGCATGCTTAGTCTTTAGTTGTTTGTTAATATAATAATCAGACATTCTTTATTGATGATTAATAATTTCTAAACTATAGATAGCAAAGGAAATTTGATGATTGTCAAATCAAAGTATGATTGATAGTAAAATATTTGTTTGAGAATCAATAAGTTTGAGTTGTTGTTTTAATCATTTATATATANGTTCTGGCAATTTAAAAAAAAATTTTTTTTTTTAATTTTATTTGATTCCAATGCATCTTTCTTGGTATGTAACTTTTTGTCAAAGAATGTATATTAAACCTACCATTTACTAAGAATCTACATTTACCAGTGCTCATTCTCCAGTAGTTAAGAGCTTGAACATCCCTGAGTGGTATGGATGGAAATGAAAAAGATGTCTGTAAGACCAGCCAGTTCTGATTTTAAATTTGTAATTTTAATTGGATATTTTTCTGTGTTTTTAAAGGAATTTTTTAAAACTTGACGGTCATGCAGTCTAAAAAGAAAGGTCAGATTGTCAAATGTTTGTATTCTGGAACACAAGAAGTAAATAAATGGCGGTTCCTGTTTCTGGACAGACTGTGTCCTCTAATAATTTACATAAGATTGCCATCGGATGAAATTCTACAATTAAAATTATATTTTTTTTCTTTAATCACAATTTTTTTATTTGCTTTATATTCTATGATTATTCAATGCTTATATTTTTGATATAAAATTGATAAAATAACCATNTAGGTATATTATTGCAAGTTAACAAGTACTGGTATCAAATAAACAGCTTGTAAACAGGCAAAACACTTCACTTCAAATTAGAAAATGTGTATCATTTTGCCCTAAAAATTTACATCTGAATTTTATACAGTTACATATAGCTATGACTGTAATTTTGAGAAACTTATTCTGTTTTGTTCTCAATACTATCAAAATGAATTCTTTACATTGATAATATAATAACACCAGCCAACAAATACAAAATAAAAAAGAAGATAGATAGATAATGTTGAGTTTACCTGCCAAAAAAGAAGATAGATAATATTGAGTTTACCTGCCAAAAAATATTCGTATAAAAACTAATTTTTAAGACTTATTCTAGTCTTAAATGAAATAAATTCAAAGCTTGTTTCTTTTGAGTTATACTTTGTATGTATATTATGTAAATTTGAACAGTTTTGCCAAATTCTATTAATAGATCTGCTATAAAAAGTCTTAATTATTTGAAAGGATCACATATTTATTTGTGAATATTTAAAGTAATATAAAACATTTTAAAATTCTCTTCATCAATTAATCTACATTTTTGTAATTGATAGTTGAAAATAATGATTTCATGAAAGTTTTAAAGTGCAAAAAATTGAGTTAAAATTTGTCTTTGTAGTAATTATATGTTAATTAATCTTGATTGTTATTTCCTAACATGCTTAAGTAATTACACAGGGTTACTTCTAAGAGCAACTGGAAAAAATATATTATACAGTATAATAAAACAAATAAATTGTTTTGTCTTTACAACAGAGAACCATTATAATAAAGGAGACTTTTTCATTAAAATTTGTATTTTTATTAGACAAAGTTTATACTCAAAATCATTTCAATCCTCATGATGGAATTGCCTAGAGCAGTGCTTCTTGAACTTTGTGTTCACAGATCAGTTTTTTTATTCCATTCTGTCATTGACCAGTGTTTGTGAAAATAATAAAAATAATTATAAAATGGAGAGAATGAAGTTCAATATTAATTCTTATATATATTCTTATTAATTCAATATAAAAGATTTTTAAAAATCTTTTATATTGAATTAATAAGAAAATATGATGACAAAAATTTGATTGTATTCATTTTGAAAGCAGCTCACAAACCCATTTTTCAATCATTAGTCCATCCCTGATGCTGTGTTTAATAAAACTATTCAAAAACATAAAATCTACTATAAAGCTGAAAAACTGGTTTCTGTCACGATATGCCAAAAACGGCCACTATGGACACCCCTAGCTATTATTTAAATTAACAATAAATTCAGTATATCATTATTTGATGCGATTTTTTGCATTTTTGGCTGCATTTTAGTAGGGTNAGACCACATCAAGGCCTCGTATATAAAGATGCCATATTTTTATCCCCACACAAATTTATTGGTGGTCCTGATACACCAGGTAAAGTACAAATTATTTTTTAGTTTAGTAAATTTTAAAAATTTATTGATAACCTAAATATTCTTAAAGCAAAATTATTAAATGTATTTATTTCAATTCAGGTATTCTGATAGCAAAGAAAAAGCTATTTAGTAATCCCATACCTTCAGGTGGTGGTGGTGGAGGAAGTGTATTTTTTGTAAATATTTTTATTAGTCAATAATTTGAGAGTAATTTAGGACATTATAAATTCAATTTCTGTTATTTTCATAGGTGACGAGAGAAACGCATAGATATTTACAAGAAATTGAAATGCGAGAAGAAGGAGGCACACCATCTATTATTGGTTCTATCAGAGCAGGAATGATATTTCAGTTAAAGGAAGCCATCACATCAGAAGTAATTATGAAAAAAGAACATCATTTTTGTAGGTAAGTATAATAGAATATGTTTTTGTTCAAAACTATAAATTAATAATTGATAAATTGAAAACTGGAATAAGCATAAACATTTTATTTATGAAACATTCTATTACTATTATTATCATCTTTTAGTAAAGCAATGTCTGCTTGGAAAAAGATACCACAATTAATTATTTTGGGAAATTCAAAAGTGCCTCGTTTGCCAGTGTTTTCTTTTTCCATCATTCATCCAGAATCTGGACTAATGCTTCATCACAACTATGTAAGCACAATATTAAATGATGTGTTTGGAATACAGTCTAGAGGGGGATGTGCTTGTGCTGGACCCTATGCTCAAGACTTGTTAGGAATTGATGAAACTTTAGCATTGCATATTGAAGATCTTCTTGCTGAAGACAGGTAATTTTAAATTGATTAGTAAATTAAAATTTTAAGATGTAGAATGTTTTAAACAGTTTTAAATATTAGTCTATTATAGATCAAAAGATAAAATAAATTATTTTATTTTTAGAATAATTTTTTAAAATGTTTAATTTAACTTTTTATAATGTAAATGTTTATCGAATGGTATTTTATCATAATTCTTATTTTTATTTCAATGTAAGTTTTTAGAGTAATTGGTGAATAAGTAAAAATAATTGCTTGACAAATTTAATTAAGTTACATTTGATTTTCATACATATTTTTGAATAATTTCAGCTGGTTAAATTTCATCTCATTAAAAAATGAGTATATTTAATTTATAAAAATAATGTTTTTCTACACTGAATCATTGATATTAATTAATTAATTAAATAAAGCTATCTGACATTTAACTAAACAAAAATAAACAGAAAAATGCTTTTTTATGAAGTAATACCTTAAAAATACAAAAATTCTTAATATTTTTAATATTTTAGTACTTTTGAACAAACTGTTTATCATTAGGAATGTAGTTTTTACTATAGAAGTGAAGGAAACAAATACAAAAAAAAAAAAAAAAANGACCAATTGTTTCCCTGGCACGCGCAGCACGAGAAGTGCGGTTACCCGTAGTAACAGCCATCAATTTAACGTTGCCGGCGTTGCCTTGACGACAGTGCCACCTGTCCCGTATATATCGACAACTTGCGTCAATCGGCCAATCCGCTGCTTAATTTCAAATGCTACTGCTTAAAGTGACTCCGATCGGAGGAATGTTTCGCAACAACGTTAAAAGGTGGAGCGCTCGGCGCAAACCTCCCCCTCCCTCCCTCCGTATACCACAACTTTAACGGTAATCCGATAGATGGCGCGCATTTCCGTTCGATCTCTAAATTACCCCTTTCAAAATTAATTTTGATTAATACGTAGAAAAGTAGTGGAAGATAAAAATAATATGCATTATCTTAACCAATGAAATTTTTTCTTTTAGATTTAGATTTAATACACGAAATTGAATTATTATTATTATTATTATTTATTCTTTCAGAATGAATGAAAGAGAAATTTAGTAATTAAATATTTAATTTCTCTTCTTCGAATTCGGTAAGCGAAACATCAGTTTGATAATTGGAGATTTTAATTATTAAATTTCATAAATAAACTAACCTGGTATGCATTTTAAAGGCCCCTTTCTTGTAAAATATAAGCATAGACAAACGGTAACGTCTATCAAATTATTTTTAAAACCAATCGCCTACGAGTATTTCCCACGCTCTAAACGTCTTATTTGAAATGTTTACAGAAAATAAACGAAATAATCATTAATACCTTATTGTTCTTTAGTGTTCGTCCATAACAAAGTTACCGACGTTAGGCCTAGAGCATGTTATAAAAATTATATTAAAATTTTTATAAAATACAAGTTTATTTTTCAAGAAAAACTATATTGACAGTCGAAGTAAAAATCCTGTTGTATCCAGGACGGATTTACACGCAAGTAAAATAAGCTACAGGGGCCTCACGTTTTGAAACATTACTATTTGATAGAGGGTGAAGGGCCTCTTATGTGTCAGAGGAAAGAATCAAAACAAGTCTAAGTCTACATTAAATTCTACGTTAACTTACCGTACAATAATATATATATATATAAGAATACTAATCGATGCTTTTTATTAAAATATATAGACTTTAAAAATGAATTAAATCGGTTATAAAATAATAAAAAGTAACTGCTAAAAAAATAAAACATTTATTGTAGATGTGACCGAAAATACTTTTAAGTTAAAATACTTTATCAATTTATTATAAAGCTAAAATAACATTTCGGATCAAAGGGACACACCGCTGTTTGGATCAAGCAAATACGCTGCTTTGCAAAATATAAAAGGCTATCAATTATTTAGGATTGTACGAACACTTAAAATACATTTGTACACGTAACCAGTTCATCTATAAACAACCCATCGCTCAGATAATATCTATTTGATTTAAGTGGAATAAAGAAAAATATCGGGAAGGCATTGAATTGCGATAGATAATACGTCTATAGCAATTGAATATTAGCGAGTTTGTAGAGTTTCTAGACAAAAACTTTTATCCCCTTTCTCATTGTTATATTCTATACTTTTCTAGGTCATATATTATTTTGTTCTTTTTCCTTCTTCTCGCATTCGAATCTTTTAAGAATTTAACATAAAAGTTTAATAAATTAATACATCTGTCAGTCAGATAATTATAATAGAATACAATACAAAAAGTCTATTTATAAAAACAATATAAAATCGAGGAGAAAATACTTATTCGCCTCTAAAGATAGTAGCAATTATAATCTATTGAGAAATTCAAATTGATATATAAATTATATAGTGTATTTGTCACGAGAAAGGAAACTTAAAAAAAAAAAAAAAAAAATAGAATTCTCTATCAGCTATAATGTCATCTATGCATAAAGAAATTAACAAATAACTAAAAAAAGTAGAGTTAACAAAACAATAATACAGAGAAAGTTACCATGCAGTGAGAAATTTGTAATGACATTAAAGTTATAAGTAAGGTTTGCATACAACTTACAGGTTTTGTAATACCATATGTATAACGTTAATGTCATTACAAATTTCTCACTACACAGTAACTTTTTGTATACCCTGTACTAACAACAACAATTATTCAGTAAGGTGTCTTGTCATATTATTTTATATATAAATATATACTTCCACTTCATCTCTCTTTTACCTCATATCTTTACTCATATATATAATTCATAATTGATTAAAGACGTCTTTTTATTTAAATGTTTAAACATTTTTCAAGCTTAATTCAGTTCATCTTCACATACATACTTAAAAACTCAATGGAACATTTAGAACATTTTCAAATGCAATAGAACATATTAACATTTTTGAATGTTTTTCTGAATTTCCACTAAATGTTAAAAACTTTCATATAACACTCTTTTTTTAACATTTCTAGTCTGTAGGAAATCTCATTCAGTATAGGGACATGGGGATGATGCATTACTTGTATTGAACATTTACTCAAAATTCAGAAAATATTAATATGTTCCATTGTGTTTGAAAATGTTCTAATATTCCATTGAGTTTTTAAATATGTGTCTTAAGATGAGATAAATTAAGCTTGAAAAATGTTTAAACATTTATGTGAGATACTGGGTATTAGAGTAAGGCTCAACCCCTTTGACTGGTGATGGGTTGGTAAAACCTACTCACTTTGTCACTGGATGGTTTTACCTGAGTGACCGGGGGTTGAGAAGTCCATTGATAGAGTGTTGGCACGTAATAAGTCCACATGAGAGCAGGTTAAACAACAAAATAACAATTTAATGAAATAACATAAAGGATATGATACAGTAAGCTAATACATTACTGGTTAGTCTACCTTTCATAGGTAACATAATGTCCAGGCCTATTCCTATGTGCTGGTATTATTTCTATTCAGTCTATATGACTGTATCAGATAGACATTAAAGCCTTATATCTATGTCCTTATAGGCTAATTGACCGAGAGAGAGAGAGAGTTTACAATTGGAAGTATCAATGTACAATAACTTGTGATGACACTTCATAGTTCCTAGATGCTGCTATGCGACAATGTTTGGACAGTTTGCAATCTAAGGCTGGGGGCATCGAAAGGAGACAAACTTGGCAATGTAGGTATTGGTGGGTGGAACGTCATGTACAGTTCCTCGAAATATATCCACCCCGATGATCAGGTGTGACCCCTTTTTATATGCATCCCGCATGAGAACAATCTCAGGAGACTTTGATTTAATGCGTTATAAGTTTGAGATGTGTCATTACCTTGGCCGGAGCGGTCTGACTCTTTTTACCATATAAGGCAACAATGTTGAAATTCGTAGACATCTGAATGAGGTGGTGGTCTCTTCTCATCTCATAATTTAATCCATTTGACAGTTTCCCATTAGTAAAACTCGAATATTTGACTAAGGTTGTAACTTAAGTCCAAACGTCAAAATGACTGTTGACTTGGAAGATATTTGATTGGTCTTATCTATCAGAGTATCACGAGTGGGTGAAAATAAAAAAAAGTGGAGTTTTTCCACTTCTCTTAATTTTTAACTAATTAATTTAATTTCCCCCTCCAGACTCTCACATTTAAATAAAAATATCTGTTTAATCAATTTTATATATGAATAAAACTTCCATTTGCACTAAATGTTCTTTACATAGCCAGTGAAAAAAATTTTTTTCCAACAGAACATTAGACCGAATCCATTTGAGAAGATATTTGGAATATTCTGAACGTGAAGTGCTTAGGCCTGGTTTCACAAGATTAAATTTTCCATTTTTTATTCCGGATGAAGAAGCAGATTTTATAGTAGAAGCAGTTTCTATAGTTGCAAAAGAGGGATGGAAATTACTTCCTCAGTATATTTTCAATCCTGAAACTGGTGAATGGAAACATAGAAATCAACAAGTAAGATTATTTTTAAAAATAATAATTATACATTTAAAATACTTTGAAAGTTTATATGTTACTAATTTTAGGTATTTAAAGATAGAAAGTGGCTTGGTTCTATTTCATATGAAAGTGGAAAATTTCATTTTACTCAACCCAAAGAAGTATTAACCAATCCTTTGCCAGCTAGTTACCAAGTATTTATTAATTTTTAAATTAAATTTTGTAATAATTCAAATGTTTTGAGATTTCAAAAATAAATAAATAAATATATATATATATATATCACTATTTTGGAAGAAAACTGGCACAACTCAAAATTACTAGTTTTGAGAAAATCCCACGCAAAGATTTAACCAAAGTTTAATTGAATATCACTTATCTCCCATATAACTGCTCCCTAGTGGCTGAATACACAAGTTATTTCTGTGACACTCTTCTACATAAAAATTTACTACATTTTCATTTTAATTATGACATAATTGAAAAATCACACTTTTTTGAGTTATGCTGGTTTTCTTCCAAAGTAGCAATATATACTGAACCAATAAATTGTTTATTAGGAATGTTTAGAAAAAGCCAGAGAAATTTTTTCTGCTGCTAAAAAAGTAAGTATTTTTATTTTTAAAATTAATAATTGTAAAAGCACAACATTTTATTTTTCAATCAGATAGCTCAGCGATATCAATTGTCCGATCAAGAAGTAATGTTTGATGATGAAGCTACTAAATTAAGATGGTTCCTTCTGCCTTCTGAAGCCAAAACTTTTGTTTTAGAGCAGAGACATCAGTCACCAAGGATTATACCATTTTGCCCCAAAAATCACTTTACTACTGAATTTGATAATGAGGTTCTGGAAGAACAAGAAATAACAATATTACCATTAAACAATTACAATGATGATGATAATGCCATTTCAGTCATTAAACAGAATACTTTAAATAATTTGGACAAAAATGAACAATTGCAAAATCAAAATGAAATTACAGAAACAAACAGAAATGACACAGATTCTGAAATTACAGATACAAACAGTATCTGCCTATGCAAATATAATGAAATCAGTGAATCAAACAAAGAAAATGAAAAATGCAGTCTGAATTATCCTGCAAGTAAAATACCAAAACCAGCAAAACTTTTAAAGAATGATACAAAAATTCTTTGGCATTCCCCTCCAAAATCAATATTTAAACCATTTCTAAAGGTATTTTTTGATAATTTTATAAAGAATATATTATTACAGAAATAACAAATAATTTTGTTTTGTTATTGTTTTTAGGCAATATCAGAATTTAATATGATACAGTCAAATGATAAGATTTTAGTTTGTTTGTCTGGTGGAAAAGATTCATTATCATTACTGCATACACTACATCAATATCAGTTTTATAGCAAAAAAAAGGTAAGCTGATTAAATATCAATCATTCTTAATTGTCTCATTATTTACATTGATAACAGATATCAGAAATTACAGAATTAAAGCCTAATTAATCCTAGTGGTTTTTAATTTATATTTAAATAAAAATAATGAACATAAAACTAACTGAAGTTACCATTTCAGTAATTCTGATTTCTTAACCAATTTTTATTTATTCAATTGCATTTCATTAAACTTAAAAGTTAAGTGAAAGGTATTTTTCGTCAGAACAATAATGATAAAATGATTTACTGTTTGATATACAATAATTTATATATATTTATATAAAATATTATTCAATTTTTTATATTAACTCTAAATGTTTTATTAAAATAAATAATTTAGGGTATAAATTTTGAATTGGCAGCAGTCACAGTCGACCCCGGTAGTTCAGCTTACGATCCTAGTCCCCTAAAGTCATATTTAGCATCTTTAGGAGTTCCTTATTATTATGAAGAACAAGGTATTTTGATTTGATTTTTATTAAATAATATACTAATTACATTTTTATGTAGTAGTATTAACATCTGTTATATAGCTATAATGAAACAAGCCATTTCAATGGATGAATGCACATCAATTTGTAGCTTTTGTAGTCGCATGAAGAGAGGCCGTATTTATGCGACGGCAAGAAGAGGCGGTTTTAACGTCATAGCTCTAGGCCAACATTTAGATGATTTAACAGAGAGGTAATTAAAGAAACATAGAAAAAATACTTTACTAAAGTTTTAAATTTACAAATGTTTTGTTCTGTTAGTTTTTTAATGTCTGTATTTCATAATGGAAGGCTCCGAACAATGAAAGCACATTATACAAACAAGTGAGTTATTTTTTTAAATAAAATATTTGTACAAATTATATTAATTCTGATTAAAATATTTTAGAGAGAAAGATATTCGAATAATAAGACCATTTGTTTACGTCAGAGAAAAAAATCTTAGGAAATTTGCCGAAGAAGTAAGTTTTCAATTGAAATTACTATATATTTTACATTTATTTTTATATGTGGCTTTCCATTTTACAAATGATAATGTTTACAAGATGTAACCCAAAAGAAATTCTGGACTTTAAAATAAATTTAGTTTTAAATAATCATCTCAGGAGTTAAAAATTTACATCTGAATTTTATAGTTACATATAGCTATGACTGTAAATTTGAGAAACTTATTCTGTTTTGTTCTCAATACTATCAAAATGAATTCTTTACATTGATAATATAATAACACCAGCCAACAAATACAAAATAAAAAAGAAGATAGATAGATAATGTTGAGTTTACCTGCCAAAAAAGAAGATAGATAATATTGAGTTTACCTGCCAAAAAATATTCGTATAAAAACTAATTTTTAAGACTTATTCTAGTCTTAAATGAAATAAATTCAAAGCTTGTTTCTTTTGAGTTATACTTTGTATGTATATTATGTAAATTTGAACAGTTTTGCCAAATTCTATTAATAGATCTGCTATAAAAAGTCTTAATTATTTGAAAGGATCACATATTTATTTGTGAATATTTAAAGTAATATAAAACATTTTAAAATTCTCTTCATCAATTAATCTACATTTTTGTAATTGATAGTTGAAAATAATGATTTCATGAAAGTTTTAAAGTGCAAAAAATTGAGTTAAAATTTGTCTTTGTAGTAATTATATGTTAATTAATCTTGATTGTTATTTCCTAACATGCTTAAGTAATTACACAGGGTTACTTCTAAGAGTAACTGGAAAAAATATATTATACAGTATAATAAAACAAATAAATTGTTTTGTCTTTACAACAGAGAACCATTATAATAAAGGAGACTTTTTCATTAAAATTTGTATTTTTATTAGACAAAGTTTATACTCAAAATCATTTCAATCCTCATGATGGAATTGCCTAGAGCAGTGCTTCTTGAACTTTGTGTTCACAGATCAGTTTTTTTATTCCATTCTGTCATTGACCAGTGTTTGTGAAAATAATAAAAATAATTATAAAATGGAGAGAATGAAGTTCAATATTAATTCTTATATATATTCTTATTAATTCAATATAAAAGATTTTTAAAAATCTTTTATATTGAATTAATAAGAAAATATGATGACAAAAATTTGATTGTATTCATTTTGAAAGCAGCTCACAAACCCATTTTTCAATCATTAGTCCATCCCTGATGCTGTGTTTAATAAAACTATTCAAAAACATAAAATCTACTATAAAGCTGAAAAACTGGGTTCTGTCACGATATGCCAAAAACGGCCACTATGGACACCCCTAGCTATTATTTAAATTAACAATAAATTCAGTATATCATTATTTGATGCGATTTTTTGCATTTTTGGCTGCATTTTAGTAGGGTACACAATGAGAAATTCAGTATATTATTATTTTTATTTGTAATAGGAATTTATTATTTATACCACAGGATGATACTACTGCTGCTAGAACGCCCTTGGATACTAGAATAGAAGGATTGTTGTTTTTTGCCTGGGCAACGCCGGGCTCATCTGCTGGTTACTAATATAAAAGTTGTTGTATGTGTGTGTGTGAATCCTTATAACTTATGCAATTTTTGTCCAATCTAGATGAAATTTTGATTATATATGTTTAATGTTCATATGGAAAGTATAGGCTGTTTATTTTGCAGAAATATTAGCTTTAGAATAAATGTTTTATCAATTTTGGAATGGTGATTGCACTTATGTTGCAGTGACATCAGTGACCACATGATGATCATGCTTGGCAAGGAAATTTCCCTTAAGTTAAATTTTAAAATATTTTGGCAAATGGCATATTTTAAACTTTCTTCATTAAATTTAGAATTTAAACTTTAAAAATGATAGTTTTATAACAAATTTAAAAAAAAAACACACACACACAATGAAGCTATTTCCATAGTGATCAAGTGACATTCTATTATCCAATTGGAAGTAATGTTCTAACAAGCATGTTGTTTAGAAAGTGTTATCACTCTTCTAATTAACATACATACAATTTATTTTTGTTTTATCAACATGGAATTAAAAGGACTTGCTTTTTTGTCAAAACAAAATGCCTAGGAGGAAGTGTAAGAGTAAAACTGGTCAGGCAAATTCTAGATCTAAAAGAATAAGGATAACCGAGACCCCTGAAGACCGTGACATCCGACTTGAGCAATATCGAGTAAGAATGGCTTTGTCAAGGGCTGCAGAAACAGCATCACAATGTCAAGCTCAACTTGAAGCTCTTCTCAATTCTTCAATTTACTTTCTCATAAAAAATATTCCGTCATGCTTGATGGAAGAATTTCTAGTTTTATATAATATTACATTAAATAATGAAATTTTGTCATGGAGCACAGTTTGAGTAGCAGTGATCTAGAGTACTGTTATGGATAATCTTAACAAAAAAAAAAGCTTTAAATTATATACAGTGTATGTAATTATATATAATTCAGACTGTGAACAGATTGAACAACAAACACTTTTGCGAAAGATTTATGTTCAGATAACGAACACAGGAAGTGACACTGTATTTTAATGGCATCTATACATGGTTTATGGAATTAGACTTTCACAGTTGTATACATAACCTTTTTTGGACTAGTTAATTTCTGTTCTCTGAATTTTTGTAAGTGCTTTTCTGAACTTTTTATTTAAAAAACATTATTATGGGGCCTAAAAAAAGCGGAGTGTCAAGAACTGCATTCACTATAGAAACTAAGCAAGAGATAATAGCCAAGGTAGAGTATGGGCAGAAGATGTCTGATATTGTGGGCAGATGACTTCAACAGGTCTACAGTAGATAAATCTTAGCTAAGAAAGATATAATCAAAAAGATTTGAGCTGATAAAGGAGTAACAAAAATTGCATCTGAGAAACAAAGATAAGATGTGCCATCCATGAAAAAATGGAGAGATTACTTTTAGTTTGTTATTACATGTAAATAAACATAGTAAGAAAGTATTTATTTATTTTTGTGGATCTCCAGAATGAATTAATCAAATTCCCACAAGAATCTATGGTAAATTGATAATCAGTTAATGAACATAGTCTTGGAACAATTATGTTTGTTAACCGATCACCCACTGTAATTTGTCTTAAATTTAAACAAATTTCTGCAGTAAACTTATGATTTGATGAACAGTACTTACAATAAAACAATTTTCTGGATGAATGTAAAGAGAGATGCATAAATATATTTGTTTCCTTCAACTGAAACATGCATACTTGTATTGGATGTCTGAGTCTGATTTATTGTATATGTAAGTATTTACAGACACAGTACATTCACTACAGCAGGGCCTGAAGAATTTAAAAATAGTCTTCTCCAGCATTCAGACAACAGTCTAAATGGTGTGCAAGTTTTGAGTTGTCTGCAGTGAAGAAAGATGCTGGTAACTGCTGAAACCACTGTTTCATTGCACTGATGTGGATTGTGTGAGCAATGTCATCTATGCTCACACAACATAATGTTCACTGCTTGAATGTTGTTGTCTGTCATGACATCATGCATTTTCCAGTTCTGGGAAGATCCACTGTCTCAATACACTCAAGTCCTGAACTTCTTGCACCATCCATGAGTAGTCTGACTTTGTGCTATGTGCTCCTGCTCATTTCATGTCTTAAACACTGAACAACTTACTCACTCATTTATACATACATGTGGCACACTACTCTTCCTCAATACTGTCAGTGTTGCTATTTTAGTCTATGTTTATTTAGTTTGGTGCCTGTATTCTATCCAGCTGTCTTATGAAGATAATCCTTCTAAATAAGGATTATCTAAATATCTGAAGATGAGACATTATCTGACTCAAAAATGAATAACACATTAAGAAAACATACAATACATGGTGATGCTCATTAGCTAGTTAAATCACATTCTTACTAAGTGGAAATTGATTGAATTCATAACACATGTGTATATTGTTGTCTTGAGTTGCAGGTTTATGATGCACTTAGAATCACCACTATTACCTAGCATGGATTAATGTACTGAGCATGTTGCATATTTCAGTTGCAGTAGGGTAACTGATGAAGCACTCTTTCAGAGCAACAACTGCAGAGGCACTATCAGAAAAGGTATTCAGTGTTGTTTTATTGCAAAGTTAGTACAGTGGAATCTGGTTAACTTGAATCAGTTGGAGATAAAAATCAGACTGAGTTAAAAAGTTAAGAGTTATGGAGGTTCAGCTGAAAATCAAGATTACATGCATTGGTTTATTGGTGACCCATAATACACTTCTCAAAAGTGAAATTGCAACACCATGAAGAAATGTGTGTAGCCACATGTAAATTGCAGGACCGGTAGAGCTGACAGAGATATGCAAATGATTAAGTTTGTGTATGCATCGGATATGGGCTATTGAGACCAGCAGCCAGCTTGGGCCATAAATGCTATCAGCAACAGTTTGCGGCATCTGATCTTTTGAAGTAGTTAGAAAATGCCAGCGAGCTGAATACCACCTGCTAATAACTGAGGAACAACACTATCCTGGAGCTGTGCAACCTCAGTTTGTCAATGTGTGTACCATCTAGCAATGTGTGACATGATGCACAAAGGAACATCTTTGAACATACCAAACAGGGAGTGGACTGTATTGGTGCACAACAGAGTGCACAAACTGGCAGATTCACCGAATGGCCAATCAGGAAATCCATTTGCCATGGCACATGACATCTGATGCCTCCTATTGCAGTCAATGGGGCATCTATGTTCACCCAAACCATTTGCAAAAGATTTCATGAGGTCAGGCTGCACGCACAGCAACTAGCAACAGGGATGCCATTAACCATTCAACATGGCTGCATGAGTGGCATGATGATGCTGTCATCATAACTGGAGCATTGAATGGCATTGGGTATTGTTTATGGATGAATCCCATTTCTGTCTTTGGAAGAATGACTGTTGTGGATGGTGTGGTGGTATCCCGGGAAAAGCTACATGCCAGTCCTTTTCACTGAGTGTCACACCAGCCCTCATGGTTTGGAGAGGAATCGTGTTTGATCAGCGGATAGCCCTGGTGCACATTTCTGATACTCTGACAGTAGATCAGTATGTCACATGAATTTTGAGGCCTGTGGTTTGGTCACTGGTGCAGGCTGTACCTGACAGTGTTCCAGCAAGATAATGTCTGACCATGCATCGCATAGCAAACTCTCACCTGCCTGAATGGAATTCATATCCTTTCCTGCCTGGTAGCCTCGCTGGATCTCTGTCCCATCGAACATGCCTTGCCATATAGTGGCCTGTGGGGGCCATATTCGTTATTGAATAAATAAGTGTCTATTGCTTATTCTTTGTTCTTTTAATTATTTGCATATCTCTATCACCTCTACTGGTCCTACAATGTGCATGTGGCTATGCACATTCCTTTGTGCTATTGCAATTTCACTTTTGAGGAGTATAAACGATCAATATGCTATTTCTGTGTCTTATGTAGAATTGTTGTGTCAATGTAAACAGTGTTGTCAAGAAACTCAAATAGTTAAATAAGCTACTGAGAAGTGCTTTCTCAAATAGTTGATCCATTCACAAGTGTTAAATAAGGATTTTTAAATTGCATGCCTGTGATCTGTTTTTTTTATTTTTTCTATCACAAAATAACAACTTTAACCTTTAATGATTGTAGTAAAAACTTCACAGCAAAATTTTAAAAATATAACAATCAGACTATAATCATTTTATCAAAAATCCATTTATTAATTACATCAGCTACTCAGAGATATCCACCAGCAATCAAATGAAACAATTTTTTCAAGCAGTTTTTTTATATTTTGAATGGCAATTACAGTCACGCTATCTGGAAACCACCACTCCTGCTTACTGTCACACAACACAATGTTTATTTTTAGTTGTACATGGTTCCTATGCCTTCTATAAAGTTTCCAGTTAGTTTATTTGATAGATGAATGTTAATTATTTTATTTAATGGAAAATTAAAATTCTGGAGAGTTTATGAAAATACTATAACAAAATCCAAACTTAGAACTCTATATATCCCAGGTTTTTTGTTCATCTCTGTTATGGTGAGGGATAATAGATTCAGTACAGAGCTGGACTACATTGGCTGCACCAAATTCTCATTGTGTAAGAGGCTGTTGGAACATCAATTTGATATAAAACAAAGTAAACACACCACTGCTATTTCTGTATATGCCTCTGAGAATAACATACAGATAGACCTAAAGAATGCCACCCTAAATCACAAGATCCCAGCATGCTGACAGACTCGGAACAGTAGAGGCATTGGAGATTTACAATTTACATGATTTTATTTAAATATATAATAATGTCAATATATACAAAATTTTTATTTCTTTGAACAACTTCTTGAAGAGGCCCACGTGGTCAACTTTTCTAAAAAGAGAGGTATCTACAAAGAAATTTGGAAAGTGATGCGTCAACACTACTGCTGTTTGTGAATGATGTCAGACTAGGGTTGCCACCTCAGAACTTACGTCTCACCCGGAGATGATGATTTAAGAAACAAAAAAAAACCCATATGCATACATATACAGTTCTTTATTTATATAAATCCCATAAAAAATAATTAAGTGTTAATCGTGTGTCATTAAAGGTTGATTAAAATCGCGATAAAAATTTTTCGCGCGGGTAAAAATTTTTGNGAAACAAATACAAAAAAAAAAAAAAAAATAGAATTCTCTATCAGCTATAATGTCATCTATGCATAAAGAAATTAACAAATAACTAAAAAAAGTAGAGTTAACAAAACAATAATACAGAGAAAGTTACCATGCAGTGAGAAATTTGTAATGACATTAAAGTTATAAGTAAGGTTTGCATACAACTTACAGGTTTTGTAATACCATATGTATAACGTTAATGTCATTACAAATTTCTCACTACACAGTAACTTTTTGTATACCCTGTACTAACAACAACAATTATTCAGTAAGGTGTCTTGTCATATTATTTTATATATAAATATATACTTCCACTTCATCTCTCTTTTACCTCATATCTTTACTCATATATATAATTCATAATTGATTAAAGACGTCTTTTTATTTAAATGTTTAAACATTTTTCAAGCTTAATTCAGTTCATCTTCACATACATACTTAAAAACTCAATGGAACATTTAGAACATTTTCAAATGCAATAGAACATATTAACATTTTTGAATGTTTTTCTGAATTTCCACTAAATGTTAAAAACTTTCATATAACACTCTTTTTTTCACATTTCTAGTCTGTAGGAAATCTCATTCAGTATAGGGACATGGGGATGATGCATTACTTGTATTGAAAATTTACTCAAAATTCAGAAAATATTAATATGTTCCATTGTGTTTGAAAATGTTCTAATATTCCATTGAGTTTTTAAATATGTGTCTTAAGATGAGATAAATTAAGCTTGAAAAATGTTTAAACATTTATGTGAGATACTGGGTATTAGAGTAAGGCTCAACCCCTTTGACTGGTGATGGGTTGGTAAAACCTACTCACTTTGTCACTGGATGGTTTTACCTGAGTGACCGGGGGTTGAGAAGTCCATTGATAGAGTGTTGGCACGTAATAAGTCCACATGAGAGCAGGTTAAACAACAAAATAACAATTTAATGAAATAACATAAAGGATATGATACAGTAAGCTAATACATTACTGGTTAGTCTACCTTTCATAGGTAACATAATGTCCAGGCCTATTCCTATGTGCTGGTATTATTTCTATTCAGTCTATATGACTGTATCAGATAGACATTAAAGCCTTATATCTATGTCCTTATAGGCTAATTGACCGAGAGAGAGAGAGAGTTTACAATTGGAAGTATCAATGTACAATAACTTGTGATGACACTTCATAGTTCCTAGATGCTGCTATGCGACAATGTTTGGACAGTTTGCAATCTAAGGCTGGGGGCATCGAAAGGAGACAAACTTGGCAATGTAGGTATTGGTGGGTGGAACGTCATGTACAGTTCCTCGAAATATATCCACCCCGATGATCAGGTGTGACCCCTTTTTATATGCATCCCGCATGAGAACAATCTCAGGAGACTTTGATTTAATGCGTTATAAGTTTGAGATGTGTCATTACCTTGGCCGGAGCGGTCTGACTCTTTTTACCATATAAGGCAACAATGTTGAAATTCGTAGACATCTGAATGAGGTGGTGGTCTCTTCTCATCTCATAATTTAATCCATTTGACAGTTTCCCATTAGTAAAACTCGAATATTTGACTAAGGTTGTAACTTAAGTCCAAACGTCAAAATGACTGTTGACTTGGAAGATATTTGATTGGTCTTATCTATCAGAGTATCACGAGTGGGTGAAAATAAAAAAAAGTGGAGTTTTTCCACTTCTCTTAATTTTTAACTAATTAATTTAATTTCCCCCTCCAGACTCTCACATTTAAATAAAAATATCTGTTTAATCAATTTTATATATGAATAAAACTTCCATTTGCACTAAATGTTCTTTACATAGCCAGTGAAAAAAATTTTTTTCCAACAGAACATTAGACCGAATCCATTTGAGAAGATATTTGGAATATTCTGAACGTGAAGTGCTTAGGCCTGGTTTCACAAGATTAAATTTTCCATTTTTTATTCCGGATGAAGAAGCAGATTTTATAGTAGNCTACATCAATATCAGTTTTATAGCAAAAAAAAGGTAAGCTGATTAAATATCAATCATTCTTAATTGTCTCATTATTTACATTGATAACAGATATCGGAAATTGCAGAATTAAAGCCTAATTAATCCTAGTGGTTTTTAATTTATATTTAAATAAAAATATCTGTTTAATCAATTTTATATATGAATAAAACTTCCATTTGCACTAAATGTTCTTTACATAGCCAGTGAAAAAAATTTTTTTCCAACAGAACATTAGACCGAATCCATTTGAGAAGATATTTGGAATATTCTGAACGTGAAGTGCTTAGGCCTGGTTTCACAAGATTAAATTTTCCATTTTTTATTCCGGATGAAGAAGCAGATTTTATAGTAGAAGCAGTTTCTATAGTTGCAAAAGAGGGATGGAAATTACTTCCTCAGTATATTTTCAATCCTGAAACTGGTGAATGGAAACATAGAAATCAACAAGTAAGATTATTTTTAAAAATAATAATTATACATTTAAAATACTTTGAAAGTTTATATGTTACTAATTTTAGGTATTTAAAGATAGAAAGTGGCTTGGTTCTATTTCATATGAAAGTGGAAAATTTCATTTTACTCAACCCAAAGAAGTATTAACCAATCCTTTGCCAGCTAGTTACCAAGTATTTATTAATTTTTAAATTAAATTTTGTAATAATTCAAATGTTTTGAGATTTCAAAAATAAATAAATAAATATATATATATATATATCACTATTTTGGAAGAAAACTGGCACAACTCAAAATTACTAGTTTTGAGAAAATCCCACGCAAAGATTTAACCAAAGTTTAATTGAATATCACTTATCTCCCATATAACTGCTCCCTAGTGGCTGAATACACAAGTTATTTCTGTGACACTCTTCTACATAAAAATTTACTACATTTTCATTTTAATTATGACATAATTGAAAAATCACACTTTTTTGAGTTATGCTGGTTTTCTTCCAAAGTAGCAATATATACTGAACCAATAAATTGTTTATTAGGAATGTTTAGAAAAAGCCAGAGAAATTTTTTCTGCTGCTAAAAAAGTAAGTATTTTTATTTTTAAAATTAATAATTGTAAAAGCACAACATTTTATTTTTCAATCAGATAGCTCAGCGATATCAATTGTCCGATCAAGAAGTAATGTTTGATGATGAAGCTACTAAATTAAGATGGTTCCTTCTGCCTTCTGAAGCCAAAACTTTTGTTTTAGAGCAGAGACATCAGTCACCAAGGATTATACCATTTTGCCCCAAAAATCACTTTACTACTGAATTTGATAATGAGGTTCTGGAAGAACAAGAAATAACAATATTACCATTAAACAATTACAATGATGATGATAATGCCATTTCAGTCATTAAACAGAATACTTTAAATAATTTGGACAAAAATGAACAATTGCAAAATCAAAATGAAATTACAGAAACAAACAGAAATGACACAGATTCTGAAATTACAGATACAAACAGTATCTGCCTATGCAAATATAATGAAATCAGTGAATCAAACAAAGAAAATGAAAAATGCAGTCTGAATTATCCTGCAAGTAAAATACCAAAACCAGCAAAACTTTTAAAGAATGATACAAAAATTCTTTGGCATTCCCCTCCAAAATCAATATTTAAACCATTTCTAAAGGTATTTTTTGATAATTTTATAAAGAATATATTATTACAGAAATAACAAATAATTTTGTTTTGTTATTGTTTTTAGGCAATATCAGAATTTAATATGATACAGTCAAATGATAAGATTTTAGTTTGTTTGTCTGGTGGAAAAGATTCATTATCATTACTGCATACACTACATCAATATCAGTTTTATAGCAAAAAAAAGGTAAGCTGATTAAATATCAATCATTCTTAATTGTCTCATTATTTACATTGATAACAGATATCAGAAATTACAGAATTAAAGCCTAATTAATCCTAGTGGTTTTTAATTTATATTTAAATAAAAATAATGAACATAAAACTAACTGAAGTTACCATTTCAGTAATTCTGATTTCTTAACCAATTTTTATTTATTCAATTGCATTTCATTAAACTTAAAAGTTAAGTGAAAGGTATTTTTCGTCAGAACAATAATGATAAAATGATTTACTGTTTGATATACAATAATTTATATATATTTATATAAAATATTATTCAATTTTTTATATTAACTCTAAATGTTTTATTAAAATAAATAATTTAGGGTATAAATTTTGAATTGGCAGCAGTCACAGTCGACCCCGGTAGTTCAGCTTACGATCCTAGTCCCCTAAAGTCATATTTAGCATCTTTAGGAGTTCCTTATTATTATGAAGAACAAGGTATTTTGATTTGATTTTTATTAAATAATATACTAATTACATTTTTATGTAGTAGTATTAACATCTGTTATATAGCTATAATGAAACAAGCCATTTCAATGGATGAATGCACATCAATTTGTAGCTTTTGTAGTCGCATGAAGAGAGGCCGTATTTATGCGACGGCAAGAAGAGGCGGTTTTAACGTCATAGCTCTAGGCCAACATTTAGATGATTTAACAGAGAGGTAATTAAAGAAACATAGAAAAAATACTTTACTAAAGTTTTAAATTTACAAATGTTTTGTTCTGTTAGTTTTTTAATGTCTGTATTTCATAATGGAAGGCTCCGAACAATGAAAGCACATTATACAAACAAGTAAGTTATTTTTTTAAATAAAATATTTGTACAAATTATATTAATTCTGATTAAAATATTTTAGAGAGAAAGATATTCGAATAATAAGACCATTTGTTTACGTCAGAGAAAAAAATCTTAGGAAATTTGCCGAAGAAGTAAGTTTTCAATTGAAATTACTATATATTTTACATTTATTTTTATATGTGGCTTTCCATTTTACAAATGATAATGTTTACAAGATGTAACCCAAAAGAAATTCTGGACTTTAAAATAAATTTAGTTTTAAATAATCATCTCAGGAGTTAAAAATTTACATCTGAATTTTATACAGTTACATATAGCTATGACTGTAATTTTGAGAAACTTATTCTGTTTTGTTCTCAATACTATCAAAATGAATTCTTTACATTGATAATATAATAACACCAGCCAACAAATACAAAATAAAAAAGAAGATAGATAGATAATGTTGAGTTTACCTGCCAAAAAAGAAGATAGATAATATTGAGTTTACCTGCCAAAAAATATTCGTATAAAAACTAATTTTTAAGACTTATTCTAGTCTTAAATGAAATAAATTCAAAGCTTGTTTCTTTTGAGTTATACTTTGTATGTATATTATGTAAATTTGAACAGTTTTGCCAAATTCTATTAATAGATCTGCTATAAAAAGTCTTAATTATTTGAAAGGATCACATATTTATTTGTGAATATTTAAAGTAATATAAAACATTTTAAAATTCTCTTCATCAATTAATCTACATTTTTGTAATTGATAGTTGAAAATAATGATTTCATGAAAGTTTTAAAGTGCAAAAAATTGAGTTAAAATTTGTCTTTGTAGTAATTATATGTTAATTAATCTTGATTGTTATTTCCTAACATGCTTAAGTAATTACACAGGGTTACTTCTAAGAGCAACTGGAAAAAATATATTATACAGTATAATAAAACAAATAAATTGTTTTGTCTTTACAACAGAGAACCATTATAATAAAGGAGACTTTTTCATTAAAATTTGTATTTTTATTAGACAAAGTTTATACTCAAAATCATTTCAATCCTCATGATGGAATTGCCTAGAGCAGTGCTTCTTGAACTTTGTGTTCACAGATCAGTTTTTTTATTCCATTCTGTCATTGACCAGTGTTTGTGAAAATAATAAAAATAATTATGAAATGGAGAGAATGAAGTTCAATATTAATTCTTATATATATTCTTATTAATTCAATATAAAAGATTTTTAAAAATCTTTTATATTGAATTAATAAGAAAATATGATGACAAAAATTTGATTGTATTCATTTTGAAAGCAGCTCACAAACCCATTTTTCAATCATTAGTCCATCCCTGATGCTGTGTTTAATAAAACTATTCAAAAACATAAAATCTACTATAAAGCTGAAAAACTGGTTTCTGTCACGATATGCCAAAAACGGCCACTATGGACACCCCTAGCTATTATTTAAATTAACAATAAATTCAGTATATCATTATTTGATGCGATTTTTTGCATTTTTGGCTGCATTTTAGTAGGGTACACAATGAGAAATTCAGTATATTATTATTTTTATTTGTAATAGGAATTTATTATTTATACCACAGGATGATACTACTGCTGCTAGAACGCCCTTGGATACTAGAATAGAAGGATTGTTATTTTTTGCCTGGGCAACGCCGGGCTCATCTGCTGGTTACTAATATAAAAGTTGTTGTATGTGTGTGTGTGAATCCTTATAACTTATGCAATTTTTGTCCAATCTAGATGAAATTTTGATTATATATGTTTAATGTTCATATGGAAAGTATAGGCTGTTTATTTTGCAGAAATATTAGCTTTAGAATAAATGTTTTATCAATTTTGGAATGGTGATTGCACTTATGTTGCAGTGACATCAGTGACCACATGATGATCATGCTTGGCAAGGAAATTTCCCTTAAGTTAAATTTTAAAATATTTTGGCAAATGGCATATTTTAAACTTTCTTCATTAAATTTAGAATTTAAACTTTAAAAATGATAGTTTTATAACAAATTTAAAAAAAAAACACACACACACAATGAAGCTATTTCCATAGTGATCAAGTGACATTCTATTATCCAATTGGAAGTAATGTTCTAACAAGCATGTTGTTTAGAAAGTGTTATCACTCTTCTAATTAACATACATACAATTTATTTTTGTTTTATCAACATGGAATTAAAAGGACTTGCTTTTTTGTCAAAACAAAATGCCTAGGAGGAAGTGTAAGAGTAAAACTGGTCAGGCAAATTCTAGATCTAAAAGAATAAGGATAACCGAGACCCCTGAAGACCGTGACATCCGACTTGAGCAATATCGAGTAAGAATGGCTTTGTCAAGGGCTGCAGAAACAGCATCACAATGTCAAGCTCAACTTGAAGCTCTTCTCAATTCTTCAATTTACTTTCTCATAAAAAATATTCCGTCATGCTTGATGGAAGAATTTCTAGTTTTATATAATATTACATTAAATAATGAAATTTTGTCATGGAGCACAGTTTGAGTAGCAGTGATCTAGAGTACTGTTATGGATAATCTTAACAAAAAAAAAAGCTTTAAATTATATACAGTGTATGTAATTATATATAATTCAGACTGTGAACAGATTGAACAACAAACACTTTTGCGAAAGATTTATGTTCAGATAACGAACACAGGAAGTGACNTTTGTTATGTAATGCTATTTAACCTGCTCAAGTCTAACTCTAACTATATACTATAACTTACCATTAATCAACCAACATGAACACTGATTATCAAACTATCAGCTATGTACGCTATATCATTTCACTCTCAATAGACATCTCTTGACAGAACAGTCACAAGAAAGAGTACATCCACATAGCATGCAGCAGCAGCACTGTGCCTATGCCAGTTATAGACGTTATGTCTAAGCCAACGACTACCACACTAGTATTTCGGTACACGGGGGGAAGAAATATATGCGACAGTTTGCATATAATTTTGTACATATTCATTTCAACTTGCACAACCCGGAGAAATATTAATTAACCCCAGAGCCGGAGATAACTCAATCCCAGAGTCTCCGGGTCAAACCCGGACAGGTGGCAACCCTATGTCAGACCAATCATCTAAGCAAAGCTGGGCTTGTTCATTGTCATTTTCTTTATCTCTAATGTATCTATTTACTGAGCATCTTGGTAATAGTTGACTGAATGCTAATTTTTCATTTTAATTGTTGACAGGAAAGAGGTAAAGATTTTGAAGAGGTTTACAAAGTAGTCATCAAGGAGGCCAAGTTTTATCCTTGATATGCTAAAAATACTTGTGTGTGTTAATGCCTCTTGGTATTAACTAACCAGAGATAATCTTTTTTTTTAATCTGATTTTTTTTTCATTCTCATCTGGGACAGGTGGTGAATCCACCAGGAAACTGATTTTCTTGCAATTCTTTTCATTGGGATGGCTGTATTTGAATTTGACTAATTGATTAAAGTTGTTTGTTAAAGATAGGAAGGTGCATTAAATTTTTGATGATGTCTGTTATTTCTTGAAAAAATTCACAATTCCAGCCAAATAATGCTCTCTGATAGCAAAAATTCTAATTAGCACAAATAGGATAATACAAAATAACCTGTGTTTTAAGAATTTACGATGGCCAAAAAGGCTTGAAAGATTGTGATATATGATAGTAACATACAGTGGGGAAAGATAAAACATTATCCTTATATCACTTTTCAAGAAAAAACAATTCTCTTTGAATGAAAACAAGGAAAACTTAATTATGAAAATTGTGTATTGATGTTGATGACTTCATATAAAAATTTACCACAGTGGAATTATTCTAAAGATTCAATACAGGTATTTAGAATTAAATGAATTATTAAAAATAAACCAACTTCCACATATTTGCTTTTTATGATTTATATTCTATCACCATTAAAACAAATGAGTAGGGATAAATCTCAAACAGCCAAGACACAACAGAAAATCATATGGTTAGCCTCAATATGTTGAAATTAATAAAAAAAAATTCTTAATAGCATTTCCTTGCCAAATCAATATTCTGTCATATTCCTAGATAAATGAGGAGCTGTTTCATCATTTCAATATCAATAATTTTTCTTAAGTAACATATACAAACAACTTGATAAACACTCGGATTCTTACCAGGCTGTATAAATTAAAGCTTATTTAGCACAACATGGTGGCTTAACCTCTTATCTCTAGTCAAATTGCTTAATATCTAAATTAATTACCTTAGCTGAATTCTTACATATTGGATTACAATAGTTTATTTGATATTTGTTAATTTGAAATAATGTAATAAAGGTAGGTATATTATTGCAAGTTAACAAGTACTGGTATCAAATAAACAGCTTGTAAACAGGCAAAACACTTCACTTCAAATTAGAAAATGTGTATCATTTTGCCCTGCAGAAATTTTCAAGGCACCAATTATAACCTAATATGAAAATTTCAATACTTGGTTAGCATTTCTAATTTATACAAGGGGTGATGAATTTAAGATGAACTAGAGAGATTATTAATAGTAAAGGCCATGAACATAATAAATTTAATAGGATCTCTGTCATCTTTATTTTTTTCTGGCATCCTTTCTAGTTTAATTCTCTAGAGCAAGGTGAGCAACCCAGGGCTCACTTTAATGAAGATGTTGGATATTTATTTTTTGAGTTTTCTATTAAGTGAAAATACACTACAATTTTATTGAGTACAACACCAATATTAAAAATGCAATAAACAAACATCCTATTACTTATTATTACTACTAAAACAGTTGATAAAATGAAACAAACATACATTATCTCTCCAATATCCTGACTTATAAGTTTTATTCTTTTCAGTTGTTGCATCATTCACTTGGTATCCATATGTAAAGTGATTTATCATCATAGTATAGTATTTAAAATGTCTACTCTAATGTTTATTAACAGGACGTATTATACCAATGTCTTTGTTTGTCAAAAGTTAAGAAGGCCTATCGGAGAAAACAAACAGTCTTTACTTTTCACCTGTACACTTTATACACGATATTGTGTTTCGGACTAGTTCGTCCTCATCAGTATAGTTATAGTATAGTATTTAAAATGCCTCTGAGTAGGCATTTTAAATACTATATTATAAGGACACAGAGGCATATGATATTTTTTGTTTTATAAAGTTTTAAGTGTTTATGTAAATTCTTGAATGTGATATTTGCACTTTTGACTTTTCAAATAATCAAAAGACACCAAATAATATGCTTCCAAAAAGTGTGGTTTGCAAGCCTTTCAAAAATAAATTTCATAACTATAATTTGTTTTGGATGGGCAATGTATGAATGCTAGTCATTTCAAGATTTACTGATTTTCGAGGACTATAGAATTTTCTGCTATACTTGAATTCCTATTTCCATTATGAATAGCCAGAATTTCACTTACTAACAAATATTACCTCATGGGTTATATTTGTTAGTAAATGATAAATATATTATATCCATATTATCATCGAATTAAATGCTTATTTCAGTTAGCCAACTGTTTAAATTTACCACAAAGGAATGTTTTTGTCCTGTATTAAGACAGCTTCAGCTTCCTAGTGAATATCAAGCAATGTTTAAATTTACTACAAAGGAACATTACAGTTTAAACAGTTTGCACCTGAAATAAGCATTTAATATACAGTAATACCTCAACTTACACTACCCCGACTTACGCAAACCCGGAGTTACTCGATTTTCAAATCTTGTCGATTTGTCTTTTGTTTGAGCGCCACGCAACTCTTGATTACTCACTCCCCCCACACTATTGTTCAGCTTACATGTTCGGACGTGTTGCATGGAATTGACACATAGCTACAATTTATTTTGTGTTATTTATTTCTGTGTTTGTTATATCTACGGAGACTCGAGAGACTCTATGTGGTGATTTCTTGTAACCGTGAACAAATCAAAAGATGAGATAAGATTAACGAGAAAGCTTACATACATCCGATTTGGATTTTACACAAATTGCAAAATTATACCCCAACTTACATGGTTATTGCTCGGTCCCACCTATCACGTAAGTTCGGGGTATTACTGTACTGTAGATAAAATGATAATCCAAAACTAGTAAATGAAATTATGTCTTACTGTTGAGAATGGGCTCTGTCAGTTCTATAAATTTCAAATCAGGAGTTACTGACTCTCAACATTCACATGCTAAATATATATGTTTTCTTTCATCTCAGAAAATATGATCTGTAATTTTAAATCCTTTAATTTGGTAATGCTAATAGATTCACATTTATATCTTGTTGTTTGTGCCAATGTAGCACATCTATTTAAGCCAGACAAAAGTTTGGTGACTATATCCTATTGTTCCTACAGTTGTGTGAATTCTTTTTTTGTTTAAAAGAAATTAGAAAGCCAAGTTATTATTTAAATTCTTCCATTCAAATCATTTAAAAAATGTCACTGTGATGAACAGAAATGTATTTTTCCATTCATATGTTATGTACTGTACATTCTAAATGTGTGATATCTTTGTTTAAATTAATATTAATTGAACTTTATTTTAATTTTTTCAAACAACCCGTTGAATTGAAAATTATGTGTATTGTAAATAAAATTATTGAAAATCTCAGAATTTTTAAAATAAAAACTGCTTTTCAGAAAATTTATCTATTACTAAATATAAATTATAAAAAACTTTTTCTGCCAAACTATTTTTATCAGGATTAATTAGTTGTTATTTGAAAGTGCTGGAATATGGATAGACTTACAACTAATTTAGTAGTACTTTCCAGTAATATATTATTATATATATTTTTTAAATTTTTAGAGAAAATTGCCTGTCATTGCAGAGAATTGTCCAGCATGTTTTGAAGCACCTAAAGTATGTATGTTAACTAATTGTTTTTAAAGTCTTTGATAAATTTCTCATTTGTATCTTGTTCTACACTCATAGGAGCGACATCGCACGAAGCAACTTTTGGCAGCCCAAGAGATATTATTTCCACGATTATATTTAAATCTGAAGTCGGCAATGCATCCTCTAATGTCTATAAACAGGACAGGTATCGAAAGCAGCAATTTATTTTGGTATGGGAAGGAGGGCGACACTTCGAGTGACAGCGAATGAACATATTCACATATCTTAAAAAGAATGTTATAAATAAAATTTTATAAAATAGATTTTCTATTTATTAATCAAAAAACACAATTTTTGATCTTTGAAATCACTATTTTCCAGAATCTACGCTTTCTCTGTACACTATTTTGCACGGCCCTGGAATGTTAAATCTTAACAGTATCAATATAATTATATAAACAAACTTTTTTCAATTTTTCATTCTTTGCAATTAAACAGAGAACTTATATGGAAATCTTATAGGTTATAGTAATGAAAATTAACTGATAACTTTAGGTCCAAATTTTATTTTAAAAATTTATCTTATGATAATCTGACCCTATTCCTATTCATCTGTCCAATAAATTAAAATTTCAAAGTATTCTTTAATAAGGAAAATTTATACATTAGTAAAGATGTTTTACTTTATGAACATTTATATCTGCAATGTTAAATACTTTTATCAGCTTTTAATTCCTCCTCAGTTTTCAATAATATCCCTCTATCTTTGAGAAACTATTTTGGTTTAGTTTATAAGGTAAGCAATTGATTTTAGAAATCCTGTCAATGTCTTTGACATGAAAAATTAATTTAAAAATGCTAAAATAAACATTATTATTACATATATTTACAGTCTAACCAATGAAAGATTCTTGATACTCATACTACTTGAATGCTAGTAGGCTGACTATAAACATGCTTTTTTCATTACTATAAAGTGAATTTGAAAATTAAAATGATTGCTAGCATTTGTGCAATATTTCTGTTTTGTTACATATAACATTATCATTTTGATTTATTCACTTCAGTTTTTAAATTGTACAGCAAGGAAATTTGTTTTATATTAACTAATTAAGATAATGTTTCATATACAATTAGTTGTTATTAAATAATTTAAATTGTATACAATGTTACAAGACAATAAAATAAATTTTTCCCTAACATTTCTTAAACAGTAATTGGATGAACAATACAGAACTACAGAATTTTATTATGTAAATGAATTCTATGGTTACTTCATATTTTTACCATTTAAAGAAGCACTTCTGCCAAAACCACACAAACCAAAAAATATTCAGCAGAACCAAACTTTATTTAATAAACTAAATTTATGTTTGTTCTTGCTTGATAATCAATGAAAGATATGCTTCCAAAAATAAGGTTAGTTCTCTACAGTGAATAAGAACTGAGTAATCAACCTTTGATTCTGTTATTGAAGCTAAGAACATTAAAATTGAAAAAAATTAAATATAAAATAATTTTTTAACATATATAAGGAGGATCCAAAAGTCTGGAGACATCTATATAAAACAATGTCTCAATACATGATATGGGAAGGGGAAAACTGTTAGGCTATGTCACGGCTATCTTCTAAAATCTGTCATCCAGGATTTAACTTTTTAAATGGTAAGGTGTTTATGTGATATCAAACTGGTAGAAAATTTCACCAAAAAAACAATGGTTATATATATGTGTACATTTATACATACATACATATATATATATATGTATAAATGTACAGAAGATAGGCTACAGCCCAAAATGCATAAATGTTAACAGTGGTAATATATATTGGGTGATATTCTTGTCTGCTTAGTCCTTGTCATTCAGAAATGTGGCTGTTTACATCAGGAATTGAAAAATACATTATTTAGTTTTCTAAATTTATGAAGTATGGATTAATCAATATTACAGCCCAATCCATAATTTATGAGATTTAAAACTAATCTTTACAATTAATCCCACATTCTTGAGATAGATGACAAGTACTACATTTTGAAACCACTATTTTCTAGAATCTACACTTTCTCTGTACACTGTTTTGCATGGCCCTGGAATGTTAAATCTTAACTGAAATCTTGCAGACTTTTGATAAATAGTGAAGTAATAGTGATTGCTATTACTTCATTCATAGCAGTTTTTATTTGTCCACCTTTAGGTTTATCTGTAACAGAACCTGTTTCTTAGAATTTGGCAACTGTACAGTAATGGATGGTATTTGGGTGGCATTAGTTTCAATCATCTATGATAATTAGTGTTGTGACGAATAGTGTATTCGGCCAGGAGCGTGGCCGAATATTTGGCTTGATTAATGCATGTATGAAAATTGGCGCGCAAACCGCATTATGGCAAGAACCCTGCTCTCTATTGGCCCACTGTCACTACGCTTCACCAATTGCATTAATTCTTGACAGTTATAGTGGACAGACAAGAGCATCATGGCAGTATGTGATAAATGATGATATCAAATGTGGATAACAATGAAATGACCTACACATGTAAATAACGGAAAAAGAACAGAGGACTGTGAAGTGAAAATAAATATAAAATTGAGTTGCTAATATAATCTAACAAGTCGAGGCAGCTTATTGGCACGAAATTTGTAACCGCCAATGCCAAATAATTGTTGTCATAGACTTTGGAAAAATAAATGCTTATAATGAAAGTCACTTAACATGCATGGTCAAAAGCCTGGGGGCTGTTTGGGCTACCAAGCTATCTCGAATCTGTGAAATCATAACTGTGACTTATACCAACATCCTATCTGTCTCTTTTCTCTGTTATCATCAGGCTATGAGTCATATAATTGTAAAATGGGAAATCTATGACAGAAAAGTGACAAATCAAAAGTATTGTGAGCACGTATTATGATGTATGCATAGGCATATGTGAACTAGAGCAATAGAGGAAAGAGAACGGGAAGAGCAAAGATGAACGCTTAAAAAAGGAGTGCAGATGTGCAACGATTCTCAAACAAATAGGTGTGTACGTGTACTGATCTTTGTAATTATAAATTGTGAATACATATGACTATTATTATTTTCTTTTTTATTTTGTGCATATTATAAGTTATAAATAAATATAAACTAACAACACTAACCCAATAACATTAAATCTAAATACCAAAATGATTAATTTACTGTGTTTTTGTTATTTCTTACTCCTGTTTTTAGGTATTCGGCCGAATAGCAAAAAATAAGCCGAATACCGAGCAGTAACCAAATATTCATTACATCACTAATGATAATGTGTGCTTCACTCACCTGATATCACAATGATCTGAACACATTCTGCTTGTGTTAATGTCACTGTCATTCCTATCATTTAGAAAGAAGAAACATCGTTTAAACCTTCAGAATAAGTATAGTTTGGAAAGAATTGACTTGAGAGCAACATCATGTGTGATGCCACTTCAGTTAAACCAATCAGCACATTCCCTAATGATGTCAGTGTTTTTTTCTTAATATGACAAGCAATATATGAATTTTATTTCATTTTCTCTCACTAGATAGTAGAACAACCTTTCCATTAACTGTATTAATTTTTTATAGCATGCATTAACTGTGAAGAATTATGCATTTAACTACTACTGTAGTAAACTTCCTAATATTGCAATACTGGAACTTGAAGAATCCATAACAGTTTATAATGGTGGTATAACAAATGAGGAAAAAACTGGAAATAACTTGCCACAACTAAGCCATCAATAGGGGAGCATCTGTCAGTGCTGTGTTTTCATTACTAATTTATTTTTTCTTTATAGGTTAGGTGTAATTGTAAGGTTTGCTGACATTAAGGGGGAATAAAGTCTATCTCATGTCAGAATGAGCCTAAGGGAAACCGCGTATGTGGGTGGTGGCGAAGGAGGCAAATGAAGAACAAGTGTTTTAAAAAAAAAACCCGTTTATTTGTTCGAATTCATGCTTACATCGATATTGGACAATTCCAAATCTCGGTGCTCCTGTGAATGGTGAAAGTTCGGGTGATCGGTCGCAGCCTGGGCGGACGAGAAGGATCACTGGATGATACAGATGTTCGTTGTTAAGCTGCAGCGTCCTGGGTGATCGGTGGTTGCACAACACAATCTAAATCACAACGGTAGGCTTAATCCAGAGGAGACACTCTTTCAACCTTGAAGTTCCGATTTTTATAGTTTTTCCCCCCCTGTTCACATTTCGGATTGGTCCCTCGTCCCATTCCTCGCTTCCCAATTAGTCTCTCCTTTGTCTCCAGGTGCAAGACGAAACTTTTTCGGGTTGCGGGAAAGGTCCGATTTGAGGTGTCCATCTAATACCTCTTTGTTGACTCTGCTTGGTGACTGTTTATAAAACAATAACACCTGCACTCATAACTCAGGCCGTTATTTACCATTTTTGACGTCTAAGAATTTAACGATCATTTTCATCTTTCATCTATCAAAAATTCCTTTTGTTTTTTTTTTGTTCGAAAGGTTTACCTTGGTCAACATTTTATAGACACGCGTGTCAAAGATCTACCTGTTTATGAGCGCTCATGTTAGAGTTTGTCTTCCACTAAGACCTTGACAGATAGTTTGACACATACTCGAACCGTTTTTGTGTCATGCAAGAATTTCACGGTTTACTCGAGTTTGAACCTCGTCTGGGACCACACATAATTCTCTGAATTTTTTGAATAATTATTCAAGAGAATTGTGTAACTTTTGTGTTGAGAACGAAATTGTGGATGCCTGGCATATTTTGGCTAAATGTGGGTGTCTTAAGGTATTACGTGATGAAATTTTTGGTTGCGAAGTTCTTATCAGGTCTTTATTTCTTAAAATTTTATTGGAACCATGTTATCAATTTAAAGTGTTTTTTTCTAAGAAAATCTGTTGATTTTTTCTCTTAGGGGGCATGATTCCTTAACTATAAAATTGGCTTTGCTGCTGGTATTGTTTGGGAGCATCTGTCAGTGCTGTGTTTTTGTTACTAATTTATTTCTTCTTTATAGGTAAGCAATTTGCTTTCTCATTTGGTTGATTGTTTTACTTTTATCTTGTTTATTGGTTTTGTATTATTTTTTGGCAGATGTTCCCAAACTTTAACTTTACACTTTAGCTTTAAACTTTAACTAATTATTATATTATAATAAATTCAAATAAAATTCAAATTGAATTTTAAACCTTAATATTTAAATTATTTATTTATTTAAATTAAAATTGTAATATATAAGTTTTGATTGTAATCTTATGCCTATTGTATTTAAGTGTCTTGTTTTTTGGGAGATGGTTTTGCTCCTCGCATCAAGGAGTGTATCCAGTATGCGTATTAAATAAATAAATAAACTAAGCCATCAATAGCTGATACTCATTGGTTAATACCAGAGTTGATTATTTCCATAGACAGACTGTAATGTTATGTTAAAATTATGCACACCCTTGTTTTTCTGGTAAAATTCTCCACTAATTTGGTACTATACATCACATGCCAACTTCCCCATTTAAAAACTTGGGAGTTTAATTAAAATAATGGATTTCAAGATAGCTGCTTTGTTGGTGGCATGGCCTAACAAGTTCCACACTTTTCTGTATCATTGTTGAAACATTAAAATGGGTTGAAGACATTACTGTTTTTCAACCCATTTTTTATTTTATATAGTTGTTTCCACACTTTTTTGACCATCCTGTATATGGATTAATTATAATTCATAAAGAACACAGAAATGAAGCAATATGATAAAAAAAAAACTAGTTGCCAAATTGAATAAACCGATAAATTAAAAAACATATTACTAACGTTTTTAAGTATATCTATATCAGGGATGGCCAACACATAGACCGCGGTTGACCACAAGGTTTTGAAAGTAGCCCGCAAAGCTAAAGTTGAACAATTTGCTTTCACTTAAATTAATGCTTAAAAATCTTAATTCGATAATTTATTCTTACAATAATAGACTGTCTGTGCAACGTAACCATACTGTTTGTATTTATCCCGATGAACAATGCAAATGAATGTTAACGAATGCACATATAAAAATCCTAAAATTGTTTGCCCATATTCATAGTCACCCGCAGACTATATTTTACCAAAAAAGTAGCCCCTAAGGGATAAAAGTTTGGTCACACCTGATCTATATGAACTGCTAATGGAAATAAAACAAAAATACTACTATACACCGACATCTAAAACCAGCAAATAAAAATTCCAACACTTTAATCAAGCAAACATTTTCTTCCATTTTCAAACAGATGTCTTCAGGTTATAACTGCTGAATATGGAATAGAAGTAACAATTTAAAAAATAGAACAATGTAAGTTTAAAAACAAACAACAATCAAGTCTTTCCTGTAAGCCTGGAGAGTAATGCATGAACTGATACATATCATTGGGTTATATCTGGGTTATGCCATTAAACTGATACTAGGTATGTAAAAAATTGTATGAATGTATCAGTTATTTATGTTTATTCTTGTCTGGTAAACACTAACACGTATGTGCCAGT